TCCCTCTCTCCCTCTCTCTCTCCCTCTCTCTCACACACACACACACTCTCTCTCTTTCTCTCACACACACACTCTCTCTCTCTCTCTTTCTCTCTGTCTCTTTCACTGTCTGTCTACTTAATTTTGACCACGTCTACCTATCTATCAAGCACATCAACACAATAATAATAATTATTAACATCAGTTTTAAGTTTTTTTTAAAGTACATCAACACAATAATAACCCGACAAAAGCATCTCCCCTTGAAACAAAAATACATAAAATCATAAGTAAATTATGTACAATAAGTAGGTCACTGGCATGTTCAGCCCTACCTTTAGTTTTAGTATGAGTTTTACGGCACTTGCAACACAACGGCTTCCAGAAATCTTGACCTACACCAAAAGTGGGCATTGCCCTACCTATAGGAGAAGTTTGGTTTCACTGGTGTGTATATCTGTTTGGTTATAGAGAAAACTCTCAAACTCTCCTTGTCTCTTAAAGAAACTGAACAAGGGGCAAAAACTTTACCTTCGACTTTCTCAAAACAGCATTTTTCAGGATAGCCTCTGGTGTTTAAAAGCGACCACATAAGTGTTGAAGATTAGAGATGTTACTAGAGTGTAACATATTATTTTAAAAAAGAAGGAGAAGAGATGATAAGGACAATAGATGTTTGATAGGAAAGAAGGAGCAGACTACACCCCCCGAGCACCCGCCAACCATCCGCAGCCTTACCTTGACCCCTCCAACCAGAATCTTGTCGCCCGTGGCCAGGCCCAGCGCCTGTAGTGTGACCTTGCTCTGCACAAGGTCGTAGTTGGGCGGCGGCTGTCTGGAGGTCGGGGGCACTGCCTCGCTCAGCGTCTTCTTCACCTTCTTGATCAGGTGACCCATGTTGGAGGACTCGTCGAAAGAGGAAAGGTCCGGGATGCAGTCTGGAAGAGGACAGGGGAACTTTTGAGCAGGGGTCTTCAAAACAAGGGGTGGGAGTGTGTGTGGCTGTATGTATGTGTGTGTGAGGGTTTGAGGGGGTGTTTGTGTGTGTGTGTGGGTGGGTGCATGTGTGTGAGTGGCTGTGTGTGTATCTTTGAGGATGTGTGTGTGTGGAGTGTGGATTTGTGCATGTGAGAGGGAGGGTATGTGTGTGTGTGAGAGGCAATGTGTGTATGTGAGTGTTTGCATGTGTGTCTGTGAGTTTATGTGTGTGTGTGTGCATGCTTATGTGTGCGGTTATAGTTACCCCCAGCTCCAAATTTCTGTAACTCTTTAGTTCTAGTAAGAGTGTTACAGCACTTGCAACACAATAAGGCCGTATATGTGCCGAAGATTAGAGGTGTTACAAGAGAGTAACACACACAGAATAGAAGTAGAAGAGATCAGGATGATAGATGTTTGATAGGAAAGAAGAAGCAAACCACACCAGAGCACCCGCCAACCAACCACTTGGTAACTCTGCTGTTAATCAAGGGCCACCATGACTCACCGAGCGGCGTTCGGCCAAGGTCGTCCTTGAGCGAGGGGTTGGCCCCGTTCTGTAAGAGCAGCTTGCAGGCCTCTAGTGCCAGATTGGACGCCGCGATGTGTAGGGCTGAGCCGTGCTCAAACTCAGAGCAGGTGCTGTCGATGTCTGAAACATCACATTTTTTTTTCGTAAGAGTTTTACGGCACTTGCAACATAATAAGGTCATATAAGTACCGAAGATTAGAGGTGTTACAAGGG